CCTAGACATACAGAACAGCTCGGTTTATTGAACTTCAGTACCTCAAATGTTTCAATCAATAGGAATTACACAGCTGCTAATTTTCAGTAATACATATTTTTAATAGTAAGCATTGGTGAGGTTAGAGTTTTGTTTTTTAACTTCTGGTGATTTTTACCAAAAAGTTTTTGTTCTTTGAATTTCACAGTCCTGGTAAACACCTAACTCATGAATGAAAAACAACTAATTTGGGGCAAGAAATCATTCTCCGAAGGTTGTTTTTACTATTTACCTCTTAAAAGGAATAATTATAGAGGTATATAAAAGGAAGGGTAAAAGGAAATAATTAATGATTTAATAATGTTAAAGGAATAATGACAGAGATAACACATGTCAATGTCACTTTAACATAGTAGTCTAAAATCTTTAAAAATATACACCTCAAAAAAAAGTTATTCATAGCTTATTATTGAGAAAAAAAACAGAACTATTCTGAGTCATTCTATGCATCGTCAACCAAGCACTTCTAAAATGCTTTTTTTCAATAAGCCGTTTTTTATACTTGTAATGTGTATTTAAATTAAAAATTAGATAGATATAAAAACAAAAAGGATAGTGGAAATAGAATGCTGTATTCTATTTAGGAGATTCATACGCAGCGACAGGGCTTTCCCTTCAATTGACTGGCACTCTGCAAAACATACACACCTCGTGTCTTGATTTCCTTTCAGGAAATAGCAGTTACCATTTAATCTTTGGGTTTTCAGTTAGAATGGAAGTTTCAAAAAAAAAATGGCTGCTGGTCACGATGTCACACAAACGTCCACATCAAAGTCCTGAGGTAATTAAGTTCTCTCTTAGATTTCCCCATAGGATATGCTAGTTAGCATATAAGTATTTCCTTAATTTGTTGTAGTCACCAAGGACAATGCAATTCTTACAGCTGTGTTTGTTATTTTATTGCTTGACAACAAATTGTATTTGCTGTTGTATTGGCTTAGAGTAAAAATACATAATTCATTACCCATAATCAATCTGTTGCAAAACTGGCTATGGAAAAATGAAGGATTATTAAACCATGATAGAAACCTTGTTGGTTAATCAAGTTTATATTCTTTGTGACAGACACTCCTGCCCCCATTCTGCTCTTCTTCCTTACAAGCAGATCCCCACTCTGACTGGCTTATCTACCCTTTCCCTTTGAAACCTGAGTGACCTGGGCAAAGTTGACCCCACCTCTAGTTCATGGCATGAGATAATAGTAACCAAATATAAAATAATGGAAACCAGGGGCCCACCCAGTGGCATGGTGGTTAAGTTTGCGCACTTCGCTTCGGTGGCCCAGGGTTTGCGGGTTCCGATCCCAGGCCCGGACCTACACACTGCTTATCAAGCCATGCTACGGCAGTGTCTCACCTACAAAGCAGAGGAAGACCGGCACAGATGTTAGCTCAGGGCCAATCTTCCTCAAGCAAAAAGAGGAAGATTGGCAAGAGATGTTAGCTCAGGGCTAATCTTCCTCACCAAAAAAAAAAAAGGAAAGAAAGAAAAGAAACCAAACCAAGTACTACTTTCCTTTCCTTTTGGCCAGAGATTGGTTCCATTGCCCAGGGTTGATCTAATCAAGACTTGTTGGGCTTTTCAGCTAAATTGGCCTAATCAGTCCAGGGGAGATTTTATTCCATGGTGATGGGAGAGATCCTCTTTCTGTGTCTCTTTCTCTGGTTCTCTGTCTTTCTATGTTGTGCAAGGTAAGAACAGGAAAGCATGTCGTCCCAGTCGCTGCTGGCACTCATCTAGGGAGGGAAGCTAGTCCGAGGACAAAGCTAACATATCAGAAAGGCCTGACCTTCCCCTGCCTGAGCCCTGCCTACCTTCCCATATCTTGTTACAAGAGATGAAACACTTGTCTAGGATTAAGGCCAGTCTTGTTTGGGGTTTCTGCAGCCCGCAGCAGGAAACATTCTAATCCTTTAATAGAGCCTACAGCGAGGAGCCCAATACTTCACAGAGACCAGTTCATTTCCTGAAGTTCTTTCAGGGCTCGCATCCATCTACGTTAAGCCTGTTCAGGCTCCCAAACAACTTCTGTCTTAGACATTCAGCTCTGAGATCAAAGTTAAGGAGTACGAAAGTCAGCAGAGCCAACACTACCAGTCTTTAGAAGTTATAAACACTGTGATTTTAACCCACCAGGGGAGGTGCAGCCCATCCTTTCATCTTCCTTCTCCCATTCAACATTCAGTGAGTCTTTTATTCTATTTCCTTAATGTTTCTTCTAGCTATATCATCACCTCTGGTCTCAAAAACACCTGATTCCTCATCCCCCTCCAGCCACTGGCCCATTTCTCTGTTCCTATTCACAGCAAAATTTCTCAAAACAGTTGACTGAAATTCCTGCCTCCCCTTCCATATCTCTAATTCTCTCATCCACACTTTCCGACAGGTTTCCAATTTCACTGCCCCACTGACGAGATTTTCTCAAGTCTGTCAATGGCTTCCATTTTGTCAAATCCAATGATCACTTCTGTGTCCTCATCACAGTCAACCTCTTCCCTTCTTGAAATAGCTTATTCGCTAGGCTTCCCTCATACCACACACTTCTGTTTTTCCTTCTAACTCGTTGGCTGTTCATTCTTAATCTCCTGTTCTGGCTTCTACTCTACTCAACCTCAAAATGATGGAATATCTCCACAGCTCAAATGTGGGCCCTTTTCTCTCCTCCATCTAAACTCTCTCCTGATGTGATCTTTTTCAGTCTCATAGCTTTAACTATCATCTACATGCAGATAATTTCCAGTTTCATATCTCCAGCCCACTCTATCCACTGACCTCAAGGCTTATATATCCAAATGCCTGCCTGAGATGTTGAACTGAATGCTTCAAGGCATTTAGAATTTAAAATGGCTGAAAGAACGCATGATTTCCTTCTGCAGACCTGTCCGCCCACAGTCTTCCCTGTCCCAGAAAATGGCACCACCGTCTACCCATTAGTTTGTCAAAAATTAGGGGGCATCCTTGACTTATGTCTTACCCTTATAACCTACATCTTGTTGGCGCTGCTGCCCAAATATATCCAGAATTCAGTTACTTATCACCACCTCCCACTTCACCCTTGTTCAAGCCAGTGTCATCTCCCAACCGAACCACCTCATCCGGCCCTCTCCCTGTTTTTTCTGCTTCTGTTCGTTCCATCCTTTGATTCTCTCATCATACAGAATCCAGAGTCACCTTTTAAAAATATAAATCAGATCATTTTATTCTTCTGCTCAAAACCCACCAATGGCTTTCCACAGCACTTGGAATAATATTCAGCTTCCTTGCTGTGGCCCTGAAGGCTCTGTACGAGCTGGCTTCTGCCTACATTTTTGACATCTTCTTCTGCTGCTTTCCTCCTCTCATTATATTCTAGACACTCTGGGTTTCGTGTTTTCTTCTGTCCCTGGAACACAGTAGCCTCATTCCCACGTTTGCATTTGTTGCTCTTTCTGCTTAGCACACTCTCCTTGCAGACCACATGTGCACACCTGGATCATTCAGATCATTCAGGTCTCACTGTAAAATCTTCTCCTAGGGACCTTTCCTGACCATGTGATCTAAAGTGGCCAGGCACATGCCCTCGGTTGTCCCTCTCAGTCACATTACCCACTTAATTTTCATCATAGTGCTTATCTCTATCTGAAATCACTTTGTTTCTTTGTTTAATTGTGCATGGTCTATCTTCCCCTCTCTAACCACAAGGATCATGAGTAGAGATCTTGGTTCATTCATCAGCTGGAATGGTATCTGGCTTCTAGTATGCACTTATTAAATATTAAAGAATGAAATTACAACTCATACCTTTATCATTTTCCACCTTAATGTATCTGGTAGCTGCCTCTTTGGTTTCCCCAATACATCCCCGACACCAAATTGCATCAAGAGTCGTGTTTCTGTCTAAGGTCGCCCATGAATTTTCTCCTGTGTACCGTCTGGCTTCCTCTTCCTCCACGTCCGCACATTTGTCCTGTGCTACAGCCACAAAGAACCACTTTGCACTCACAGACTGTGCCTGTCGCTTCCTGCCTCCTTGCCATATGGCCTTCCTCTTCTCCCTTCTACTCACCTGCCAGGTATTGGTCCCACATTTCCTCCTCACTGGTTAGAGTCAGTAACCTCACTATTTCTAGTACATAATTCCATTATTGTTTTTGTCAGACTATACTGCAATTATTTGCTTAGAGTCTTGTCTCTTCTACTAGTTTGTGAGCTCATTAATGACCTGAAGTTTCTCATTCTTCTTTAGCTCAGCAACTGGCACTGTGTAGGCACTCAACAAATGCTTGCTGAATTGAACTGAATCAACTGACCCCATGCCATATCAAAAGGACATATATACCACCCCCCTCAAAGAGACAAAAAAGAGTTTTGGTTAAAAGAACATCTGGTCCACATCATAAAAACAATATGGAAAATAATACTAGCAATATTTATTGAGTGCTCACTATACTATGAATTTTATGTGTATTGTCTCTCTGAAGAGTGATATTAGGAAATAGAGGCCTAGAAAGATTAGTAACTTGCCCCAAATCACAAAATTAGTAAGCTCAATATTTGGAACTCAAACATAATTTTTTTAGAGATCCAAGGGCTACTACACGTCCTCTCGAAGTCATTTGTAAGGAAGGTACTGATCACCATGTAATGGACACGCTCCGTGGGGCCTGCCCCACTTGGAAGAACCAGGCAGTTTATGAACCCCAACTCCCAGCCACACTGTGGTCTGCAGAGGGAGGAGAAGGCTGCAGAGACAAGAACTGGTGAAGCCATGGCAGGACGAGCCACCGTGGGCCCCAACCACGGCCTAGTCTCGGCTCTTTGTCCTCACAGGTCTTTGTTCTACCCGAGCTGGTGTGAATGGATTTTCCGGTTCTCTCAACCAAAAGAACCTTGATCAGAAGTCACCATTAGCCCTGACAGGTCCTGTTCCTTCAGGAACCAACATATCCACACTTGTAACTGATGCAAATGACATTACCTACCTTGGGCATGCAAACTACCAAGTGCCCTGTTGTCTGAGATCTTTTAGCAGAGCTGCTGTCGGGTTTGACTTCTGCAGGAAGGACAAGCTGAAATGGCTGAAAATAATCAGGAATAGTTACGGAGAGTGAGTGCACATTACACGAGAGGGTTACTTTAAGAGGTGTTTTCGTTCCAAATTTAAGATTTACCATTCAATTTAAAAAAGGTGCTTAGACTTATTAGGAAAAAAATAATATATGGGTTATGCTTGACATGCCTGAACTATTTTATCTATTTTAATGAATAGTCCAAAGAACAGTCATGAATCACAAACAATGAAACACTCATTGGTCCATTTATGTTAACATGGCTGATAAAGAATTTATAGATAAAACATCAACTTATTTCCATCTTAAAGTCTTCAAGCTATCTCATATGAATGCTTAGAATTACCAAAAAATGCTATTTCAAGAATGATAAAATTACAGTTGGTATGAATGAGATATTGACATTTAAAATTAGTATATTATTTAAATATAATTATAGCATAGGCTACTACAAATATGATCTTATCAGCTTTGAGAAAAGTACTAACACAATAGACACAGGTTAAAAATATTAATTTTATCAAGCTACTATACAATAATCAGCAACCATTCCCGCTGAATACCAGTCCTATGGTATAAAATTATGTTCCCAAAAAATAACTCTCTGATTAGGTTCCTCTTTTCCTATTTCAGTATTACTTTAAAAAATTTTGAGGCAACCTAGCTTAGCCCAAGGCTCAGCTTTTGAAATTGTAACAGTTCTACAGGGTGATACTCACCTTTCCTTTGACCATTACTCGCACATAAGTTGGCTGCACATCAACATCAATTAAAGAGGTATCCATATATCTTCAAAATTAAACATACCAAATCTTACAATGTTCAAAAACATTAAGTTTAAAGAAGTGCAAACACAAAGTCACATTTACAGGACCATTTTAAACGAAGAAAGTTGACAATTTCCGTGCTAAACAGGTCTTAAAAAATTTGTCTTAAATTAATCCCCAGGCCAAAGGAAATTCAATATATCAGCAATTTCATTTTTAGACCCACAAGTACATTTGACATTGATTGCCCCTAACCCAAAAATATCTGCAGCTGAAACACCAGAGGTTTGCAAAAACCAGTTTCCCGTGTTCTTTCATGAATATTTTATTTTAAGCCCCTAAGACTGGCTTGAACAGCTAGGAAGGCTGAATGCAACCACCAGCTCCTGCTTCCTTAGCTGCTCTCCATCCCCTGCAGCTGTTCTGCAGCTGCCCTGATACCATCTCTCCTGAAACACTGTTTGCTTCTCTCCTCAGAGGCACATCCTGCTGAATAAGCAAAGCCTTCCATCTATGGCAGCAACCCCAGGACCAGATGGCAATGATTCTCCTCAACTTCATGAGCAAATGAAAGATTTAGATCTCACATCGCTTGTTAAAATAAGAAGGTTAGCCAAATGACTATTTTTATACATATTAAATATTGATTGTGAACATCTGAAAATGCAGTGATGATTCAAAAATCACAAACATTAATGGGGCCGGCCTGGTGGCGTAGCAGTTAAGTTCGCATGCTCTGCTTCGGTGGCCTGGAGTTTGCAGGTTAGGATCCCGGGCGTGGACTGATGCACCGCTTGTCAAGACATGCTGTGTGGGGCCGGCCCAGTGGCTTAGTGGTTAAGTGCATGCGCTCTGCTACTGGCGGCCCGGGTTCGGATCCCGGGCGTGCACCAACGCACCGCTTCTCTGGCCATGCTGAGGCCGCGTCCCACATACAGCAACTAGAAGGATGTGCAACTATGACATACAACTATCTACTGGGGCTTTGGGGGGTAAAAAAAAAAGGAGGAGGATTGGCAATAGATGTTATCTCAGAGCCAGTCTTCCTCAGCAAAAAGAGGAGGATTAGCATGGATGTTAGCTCAGGGCTGATCTTCCTCACAAAAAAAAAAAGACATGCTATGGCAGGTGTGCCACATAAAATAGAGGAATATGGGCACGGATATTAGCCCAGGGCCAATCTTCCTCAGCAAAAAAATAAAAAAAAAATTACAAACATTAAGGCAGGTAGGATAACACTGGGGTCACAGGCACAGGAGTCAGTCACACAGACTTGTGAGGAATGATTTCACCCCCTCCTGCTTTATTACCTTGGACCATGTTCCTTAACCTCTCTAAGCCTCAGTTTCTTCACCTGTAAAATGAAGTGCCTATCCCCTAAGACTGCTATGAAGACACATGCATAGTGCCTAGTATGTAGTTAGTGTTAGTAAAGCATTGTTATATATCATTTAATAAAAATTTTTATAATAATAAAAAGTAGAGTTGAGATTTCCTACAACTTCATGTCTAATATCTACCACTTTAATGGATTACATATTCTTTTTCATGCTGAGGGCCTCCTAAAGTTTATCTGTCCCTACCTACAAGGTCTTTGCATGTGCTGTTTTTCTTTGCCTAAAACAATCTTCTGCCAGTTCTTTGCAAAGCTCACTACTTCTCATCCTTCAATTTTCAGTGCCCATCTTGCTGACTTTCCCTAACCATCCCCTACACCACCAACCACCAGACTACACACACCACTGTTCTCCATCCCTGAACTCTGTTCCTTTCCTGTAGAGCACACTTCTCCCTTTGTAATTAATTACTTATTAGATGCCCGCCTGTTTATTGCCTGTCTCCTCCACTGAGCTGTAAGCTACAGGAGAGCAGTGACTGCATTTAGAACATGCCAGTTACAGTCTTCAGTGACCGGCACGTAGTAGGTATTCTAATGGTATTTGTAGAATAAAGGCAGGCAGCATACATGAATGAATGAACTTAACTTTCAAGTATATATCCATGTGCCAATGAAGATAACAAGAAATTTTAATGTAATAGTTCAGACACTCATGAGAATAGAAGGGTTTTACTACCTAGGCAGGAGAAATATCACCACTCCTTGAAAATGTACATGCACGGGGGGCTGAGGAAAGTTTTCATTTGAGGACCAAATGTGAAATAGCCAACAGAGCTAAAAAGAGAAAGGGGTGCACATTTACTAAACTCTAGAAATAAGGTCTAAAAATGGAAAGGACTTAAAAGGATGAAACGAGAAAGTTTAACTGAAAAACAACAGAAAGGGCAGCCTTGGGAGCTGGAGGAACAGAGGACATGAAGTCAGCTGGAGAAGAACTAGAAGCTCCTTAAAGGTAGGTGACCTGGCAGTACATGGGCAGAAGAATTGATAGGAGGCATGAGAGAGGCAGCCCAGAGTGAAGAGGAAGGGACCACACTAAGAGCCAGCCCCTATTCACAACAGCCAAAGGTGGAAACAACCCAAATGCCCATCAGCTGGTGAATGGGTAAACGAAATGTGGTCTATCCATACAATGGAATATTATTCAGCCATAAAAAGAAAGGAAATTCTGACACATGCTTCAACATTGACGAACACTGAAGACATTATGCTAAGTGAAAGAAGCCAGACACAAAGGCCACAGATGATTCCATTTATATAAAATATCCAGAATAGGCAAACCTACAGAGACAGAAAGCAAATTAGAGTTTTCCATGGGAAGGGGGAAATGAGGAATGATTATTTAATGGGTATGAGGTTTCCTTTTGGGGTGATGAAAATTTCATGGAAGTAGATGGCAGTAATAGTTGCACAACACTGAATTTACTAAATGCCACTGAGTTGTACACATGAAATAGTTGAAATGACGAATTTGTATATTTTACTACAATTAAAAAAACAAACAAAGTTGGACTAGGCCTGAGGGTTCCACCTTCTGGCTTCGCTAATTACTGCGTTTACTTTGAGAAAACTCACCCGCCTTGGGTTATTCTGGGATAACAATCCCTCCTACTTCACTGAGTCACTGAGAGATTAAATAAAATAGAGCATGTAAAAAAAAATCCCTTAAAAAGAGAAAGGCCTTTTACTATAATTCATGAATGTAAATGTTAATTGACTCCCATCATCAGTATGTATTCATTCATTCATTCCTGTACTAACTGAGCTCCTACCAGGTGCCAGGCACTGTTTTAGGTGCTGGAGATATAAAGAGGGAAGAACAAACAAAATAAAGTTCCTGTCTCAATTGCAAAGTTTTAAAAATACAAGTAAACTTATAGTTTGCCAGGTAGAAATCAAAAAGCAGGAAGAGGTGGAAGGAAGCCCTGTTACATCAGATGGTGGGGTGGAAAGGTGTCAATCATACAGTGACATCTGAGCAGAGGCCTGAAGGACAGGAGGCAACAAGCCCCAAGGACGCCTAGAGTGACGGTGGTACAGGCAGAGGGAGGCACACGTGCAAAAGTCCTGAGGCATCAGTGGGTCTGGAAGGGCTAGAGCAGCAGAAAGATCCTACAAGTGGACACTGAAATCATCACAAGTTTGAAGGACAGTGAGCCAGAACCTAAAATCTCCAAGGAATGAGGCAGAGTGGCCTGGTGTCTCTGAATGACTTCAGCAAGGAAGGGTAGAAAGTGACACAGGCTGATGGTGTGAGTCAAAGCCATGGAGATTTAGGGAGGAGAGAGCAACAGTCAGAACGTGGTGATGAGGGGCAGGCAGGACGCCTCTGTCACTCCCGCCCACTGGAATGAAATGTGGAGGAGAAACCAGTCATGACGTGGGACGCAGCCTCGGAAGAAGTGTCTGCTGGTGATAAAGAGGCTACTGTTTATGTTTCAGAACTCAAGAGAGTGCAACTGAGAATGAAAACAGAAAGAAACGCCATTAAACACATACATAACAAAATATCTTTACCTGTACACGGCAAGGTCCAGGATGATCTGGTTACGTTTTTCATCATCTTTCAAAGAGAAGTCAAGTCTAAGGAATAACCCATTTGGGGAAAAAAAGATGACGTCTTTAGCAATACTGTATAAATAACCTATCTCATTATCAAAAGTAAATTTGATAATTATATAATAATCTCCGATGACAAACTTATTTTGGTAGCTGGACAATAATTGTCTACGTCAATTTAAAAATTTCAATAGAAATCTACAACATACTCATAAATTTTTTCTGTTTACATTGTTTAAATGTGATAATCTTAAGGTAAACTACATATTAAAAATTTGCATTTTTGCAGAGATAGAGACATCTGGTAGTTGAAGTTTTCTTTTCCATTTCATCTGAGTTGGCTAGAAGCAAACTAAAACATTGGAATTATTTATGGAGAACTAAATGCTGTATTTGCCTCCCCTTATCCAGCATTCTATTCCTTAAATTTTAAACAGTCCTGTCTTCCTTCTTTTCCCTTGCCATCTTTTTTCTTTTCCCTTCATTGTTGACCTTTCCATCGCCCTGGGAAATGCTGAGACACTGCCCATTATCTATCACCTCCATTTTATAGATGAAAAACCAGAGGCTCAGAGAGGCTGGCACAGCTGGGAATGAGGTCATGTGAGTTTGGAGAGGCAGAATTTCAAAGCTCTAAGTCTTTTAACTACACCCTGAGGATGAGTCCTAGGTATAACTTCCATACTGTCAACATACTATTCAGAATTACTTGCTCAATTTTATTTTGAGCACATCACTTGTAACCCTACAATATTAAAGAATGTAGGCTAAATTGTTTGGACAAATGTGAAACTAGCCATAGACTTGGCTGTCAGCAGTGTGTCTGCCTGTGGCAGGCATTCTCATTGCTTTCAACAACCCAGCCATGCGGGACTTCTTCAGTTGCTCAAATCACCCACACATTCTTGATCTCATCTCAGGAGCTTTTATAAGTGCTATCCCCACTGCCTTGACTGCTTATTCCCCAGTTTTCCAGCCATTCAACTTAACTATCCCTTCATATATCACTTGAAAGATTTTCTATGGCAGAGATTGCTGTTCGTTCCCCATCATCTGCTCCCCCTGTATCCATGTAATAGAATCCCTGATTTTAACTAGGCACATGGTTATGCAGAATAAAGACAACATTTTCCAGCCCCCCTTGCAGCTAGATGAGGTCATGTGATTTAGTTCTGTGAAGGAAAGTGTTGTATGGCGTGTTCCATGAATTTTCCTTAAGAGAGAGAGTGTGTGCCATTTCCTCCCTCCCTTCTTATTTATTCAGCTGACTAGAAGAGATTATAGGTGGCCAAGAGATGAACCATAGAGACTATTTAACAAGCTATTGCAATTGTCCAGGAAAGAGGGAGTTGACTTGCTCTAAGGTGGTGGTGAGGGAGTTAATGAGAAGTGGTTGGATTCTGGTAATATTGAAGAAGGAGCTCATAGGGCTCACTGATAACGTGAGAGAGAAAAGATTCAAGGATGAATCAAGAATCAAGACCAAGTTTTTGGTCTTAATAAATGGGTGGATGCTCACTACTGAGATAGAAAACACCGGGGGACAACATGTTATGGTGGAAGGTGGTGGTGGGGATAGAAATTAGGAGTTCTGTTTTAGGCATGATAAGTTTTTGATACCTATTTTATATCCACATAGTGACGTCAAATAGCTAATTGAATAATACAAATCTTGAGCTCAGGGAAGAGGGTGGGTCTGGTTGTGAGTAATGTGAAGATAGTGTTAAAGCCCTGGGATTTGGTGAGATCTCCAAAGAGTGAATGTGAAAAGAGAAGACAGCTGAGGAGTTTGCCCCAGAGCACTCGGGAGACAAGACAAAAAGGATCCAGCAAAGCATAAGAAGATGAGCAGGTAGTAAGGTCGAAGAATCAGAAGCAAAGGGAAGAAAGTTCTTCAAGAAGGAAGGTAATGATCAATTTGGTCAAATTTGCTAGGTCAAGTAGATGGGGACTGAGATTTGAAATGATGTGGCCGAATACAGAAATGACGTGAACGTAGAATATAGAAATGATGTGACTAAAGAAGTTTCAAGATGATGGAACAGGCAGAGTGGTTTAAAGAAAGAATGTGAAGTGAGGAAGTGGTGACTGAGCACAGACAACTCCATGGAGAACTTTGACCATTAAGTGGGGGCAGAGAAACAGGGCTGTAGCTAGACAGGAAACTAGGGAAAGGGAGGTTTCTTGGTTTTATTTTCTTTTAAGATGGAAGATACAACAATACATTTGTATACTGCTGCGATTGATCCAGCAGAGTGGACAGAACTGATACAGCAGAGCAGGGATAACTGCAGAAGCCAGGTCCTTGTAGGAGGAGGGGTGGGATCACTATGCCAGCAGAGAGCGACTCCAGATAGGAAGCTCACCCACAGCAGCAGGAGAGAAGAGAGTATGAGGTACAGGTCCAGGTACCCTGGTCAATTAGCGTTGGTGGACGAGAAAATTTCTGCTTATGTTTTCTCAGTGGAATAAGAAACAAGGTCGTCAGTTAAGACTGTGGAAGTGTAAGGTGGTGTTGGAGGAAAGGGGAGAGGAAAAGGTGTGAAAGGTGAAAGCAGCACAGTGAGGTTGCCAGAAGTCCACCTGAGATCTGTGGTCCAAATTCACAGCAGGGCCAGCAAAGGCAGGTGAATGTTTTCCTCCAGCCAAGCATGACGGCAAGCCCAGGAGTGGAGGCGTGTTAGATTTAAACAGGGTTGGGGCTTTATGAAGTGAGGATGATGGAAGGAAAGGAGGACAAGTGAGTTGACAGTATACGCCAAGGGATGATTTCTGTGATGAACCATAAAACCACATCAGGGTGACAGAAGGTAAGAACAAGAGGGGGGACAGGAAGAAAAACAGGAGACTGAATTGATTCACAGTCTTAATGGGGGCATGCAATTGTTGGAGTGGAGGGAGTCCCCCAGGAACATAGGAGACAGTGCTCACGAGACACTCAAGGGGAAGATTCTGGAGGTGGAAGTGATGCTGACGATGGCAAATCTAAGCATGAAAGTGGATTGTGTGGTTGGGCTGAGGTGGAAGAAAAGACGGCTGGAAGTGAGGTGGCTGAGTGGCTGAGAGGCAAGAGCTTTGTTGTATTGTCTACATGTCTGATGACATCACAAGACTGATGATGGCAGGAGAGGCAGAGGGAAAGACACTGGTCTGGGAGCTAAGATCTTCAATGACTTGACAGGAGTGGTTGATCAGGAGGTAAGTAGATGACTACAATAAAGAGCAGTGGGGTGGTATATCTAGATGGCCTGTGCTTCAAGAGAGCTGGGAATTTTTAGGGAAAGGGGAGAAATGGTCTGAAAGTAGCTATGAGGTATAACTTCCTTGTGGTATACGTGGTGAGGAAGAATCAAAAGGGCAGCAGTAGAAGCAGAATCCTTAGCAGTTTCCATTAGTGAAAGAAGATAAAAGGGACACTGAGAGAAAAGGTGAGGATATAGGCTTTCTTGACAAAGCATAACCTCCAGAGGGCACATGGAAGGGATAGGGGTCAGGGAGCGGGGAGAGAGTGAGCTGGATTAGGAGGTGTACAGAGCCACATGAGGACAAGATTCTGGATGATGACAGATGACCTCGGAGGGTAAGCAAGGGTGCCCTTCCTTGATAGAAGTAGGTGGCAGGAGGATGGTGGTGGGTAATCAGTTCTTCATAGAATCCCCTTAAACAGAATTGGTTTGGGGGGCAGGTAAAGTGGTCAATGTGGTGACAGGAGTGGTGGTCCTACCAAGGGACACATGGAGCCCTGTTGTAGGCTGAAGAGAGACAGCCTTCCCACTAGATTTCTAATCTCCATGAAGGCGGAAACCTGTCATATTCACCGCCGTATCCACAGTGCCCAGCATCAGGTCTTGTGCTGCATTCATAGCTGCTGGATAAAGAAGGTGTGTGTGTATAGGAGGGGTGAGACTATAAACTTGATCATGGAAATCACTAGAATTGGGTTGGCGTGGGCAAGTCAGACAAGCCACCTATTAACTATATGACCTTGGGCAAGTCACTTCACTCCTTCAAGCTCAGGTTTTGGACCTGTGAAGAGAAATACTGCCTATCACACGAGACTGCTGTGAAGATGAAACAAATGATTCGCAGGAATGACTCAGGACAGTACCTTTGTCACGGTAATGGCAGAGCAAATGAAACGATGAACATAAATAGGTTTTGAGTGATGAAATGAAGCAAACAAGATTTAGTCCATAGGCCTTTTGGTCTATATTTTGGCTACAAAAGGCCTTCTTTTGCCCGCTTTCCAGTTTTAAATTTCAAGACAGCCAGATAAGGTAAATCACACATTATTACACTTGAGGATTTCCAGTTTGAATCTTTTTCCTCTCATGAACTTCATTGAGGTATTTATATCAATTTCTTTCCTTAGCTTTCGAATGCTTTGCAGATCTGTTCCAGAGTCTAAGGTAGATGTATAGGAGATGCATCACTATTCTCACTTAGCTTGTTCATGGCAGAGTTTTAAACATTAATAAACACAACAATAATACACTGGCACTTTTCAGGCATAAAATTGTATCTAGTCCAAAGTTTCAGGGAATACATAAATAAATAAGATCTCCATATGTCAAGATCATTTTCTGGATGCCAATAAAATGAAATATAACATTATGTACTTGAAAACACAATAGATGTTTTGCTTTCAAATACGCACAAAATGACATTCTTATTAGACTCATCAAGCTTGTTAAGAGCAGTCAGATACATTCCCTGCAGAGCAAACCTGAGATTATAATGACCAACACCACAAAATTTACTTCTTCAAGTCTCCATTTGGCCTCACATACTTGGGCTCATTGACATTCAAGGGTTTCCCATCTTCGGTTATCAAGGTCCTGGGTGGTTTCACTTTCTTCTTTTTATTGCTTAAGATTGGGGGTGGGTGGGAACAAGGGGCAACGGGAAGAGGGAAAAATAAACAAAAAGAATATAAAAGTAATTAACATTTCTGTGAAACAGTTTAAGAAAAATGAATCAGATATTTGTGAATGCATCAACAATTCCCTGCTCTGAAGTCCATTCTTTTAAGTCTATGCTGGGAATTGACAATTAAGCCATATTTCTGTATGGTTGTATCTATATCTGTAAAGCAAAAATGTGACCAAGACAATTTGCCAGATAATTTGAATGGGCGAAAAAAAAATTCCTTTTCATGAAATAGCCATGAATATTTAAATGAGCCTATTTTATGCATGATTTACCCAGATAACCGTCAATTCTCCATTTGTGTATACAGCTTCTGCTTTAGTTAAAATTATAATTTTTAAAATGTCAAGTAGAATCTATTCTCTAGAAATAAAAATACAAGTACATAAAGATCTATGTAAAAGGAAGTCTACCACAGCATTATCTGTATTGGCAAAATCTTAGAACCATCATAAATGTTCATCAAAGGAGGAATGATTGGATCAACTGTAGCACAGTCATGCTATGAAATATTTTGCAGCTAGTAAAAAATGTGTCCATTCTTTACCTACTCACCTAAAAAGTGATAGAAAAGTGTCAATGATGTGTTTAGTGAGAACAAATATATGAAATACAAGTCCATTTTTGTTTTTAAATAAAGACCCCAAATCCTACATTTGCAGAAATGATTTATAGGATTGTAGAAGGTAAAGAAAGTTCTGGTGGGATTGACCTAAACCTGTTAACAATCACTACCTTGAAGGCGGAGGGATAGGAGAAAAAGAAATGGAGCAAAGAGGAAAAGATTCACAGAGTAACATGAAAGAGAAATGCAGGATGTAAGTTCTATTTATTTAAAATGCTACTGGAAATATGTAAAAGATTAAGTAGGCATTTATGGACAGGCTTTGGAAGATCAGATGGACAAATTTATTTAGAAGATGGAATTGTAGGCAATTCTTTGCCTTGGATTTCTATTGTTCTTTTAATATAGATTTTGTGTCAGTTAACATTATTTTAAAATGTAAATTTATTCACATTTTTCTGAATCTTAAACTGGGACCCCAGGTCCAATTAACTTAATGTTTCCACGAACTACATTACTCTCCATGAGCCAGAACAATTAAGGGGCATCCAGAAGAGACAAACATCTTGGGGACCCATTGGATTGGGTAGACTGCAGCACACTTGAACAGAGTGACTTGGACTTTCATCCAATTCAGTCGTACTTTTTCTTTCTTTCTTTTTTTTTTTTTTTTTTTTTTTGCTGAGGAAGATTGGTGCTGAGCTAACATCTGTGCCAATCTTCCCGTATTTTGTATGTGGGACGCCACCACAGCATGGCTTGATGAACAGTATGTATGTGCGAGCTTGGGATCTGAACCCACGAACCCCGGGCCAATAAAGCGGAGTGTGCGAACATAACCACTACGCCACTGGGCTGGCCACTCAGCCATATCTTTTTTAGGCTGTCAGGGAGAGAAAAAATTTCTCCTGATTTCAGGCTCAAAACAATGAATATTATATATATTATATACAGACACACACACACACGTATATATATATATAAATATGTGTGTATATATGTGTGTGTACGTATATAAATATGTGTGTATATATGTGTGTGTATGTGTATACACATCAGAAATATAGTATACATTATATAAACATGGATAAATATAAACCCATTTCAAAGGGTTCTTGAGTCTGCAAAGCACATTTATATTTATTGGCTCATCTAATTCTCTTAACAACACAGTGGGATATGTAAGGCAGGTATGATAATCCATGTTTAACAGGCGAGGAAACAAATGAGGAAAAGTTAGGTGCTTGCCAGCATCACACAGTGAGTAAGCAGCAGAGTCACGATATGAACCCACATTTTCTAATTATTACGATACTCTGCCCAAAGCACTCGGTGGCCTCTCAGTGTACAAATCATCGAATTTTACAAACAAGTATTTTAGACAAAATTTGATTCTCATTTTCTTACCTCCCTATCTATCTAATTAATGAAGAAAATTTTATGAACACAGCAGAGATTTCTAACAGTTCTCCTACTTAGTTTCTTGCTCTTAGCTGGTAATCATAGGGAGAGACACTGTGTTGCACCCGTGTCATTGCCATGCAGATGACTGTATTTCAGAGCTAACTGATTACATTCTCGAGCTCATGAATTATAAGTATCCGTAAGTGACACATTTTACATACTAGACTTAAGTAATGACATGAAACAGAATGACACAGAGTCTATCTTTAAAAAAGCTATTCTGAAAACAATAGCTTAAGCATTGTAGCTTCTGACACATCATTAAATTATATCTAAACAATTCAAAAATGAAAGCATATTGTTGAATTTCCAAGAGAGCTGTATTAGAAAAATACAATGCCTAATGAAACTAATTTCTAATTATGAATTTTGCAAATTAAAAGATGCAAAGGAACTCATTCATCCCACAAAGTGGCCTTTTTCTTGGTGCCATAATAACCAGTATCTCTAACCCAGGCCATACCATTACTTGAAACATTTAAAGTTGTTAAAAAGCTAAAGACAGACAAACAAAACCCTACCTAAAACGCCACCTTTCATGACATTCTAAAGAAGGTAGTTTGACATTAATAATGTTAGCAGATACAATTCAACCAAAAGCTGAACTTAGAAAAAGCAAAGTGTGCGATGGCTAATAAAGATTTAACACAGATAATAGGGAAAATAATGTGCAATCATGAAAATATTTTCCATAAGAGATTGTTACCTCACTCTCAATGATAAGAAAAAATGGAATACCTTAATTTTTCTTGGTCTTTCCGTTGTTTTTCCATATGTCGAAGAGTTTCCAGTCTAGATTCAGGAGTGAACAGAGATGGCTTATTCCAGAATTCCAGGTCATCCTCACTGTCCTCTACTCTCTTCTTGTTGCATTCCCCTTCTTGTAATTCTGGTGCCTGGAGGTGGTCTTTGCTCTCTCCAGAAGATGGGCTAGGAAAGAACACGAAGCACAGAAGACCAATAATGGATGTCTGAGTCGCATCCTGAATGCTGTCCCTTAAATATCTTATAAATTTTTCTTATGTTATCTTCTTACTTTTGAATGACAAAATGTGTCTGAAAGCAAGCCTATCGGAGGCACATTAGTGGAAATTACTGCTACAGCATAGGGGCAGGCCCTCATCATCTGTCACCAGGAATACCGTAGTAATCAAATTCCAGGGTTCACAGCCTTGGCTGATGTGAGTCACGTGGGGAGATTTATAAAAAGTACAGATTCCCGGACTCCCATCAGAGAATTCACTCAGCTGATTTGGGGTGGGGCCCAGGAATCTGTGTTTTACATTATTTTGCAGGAGAGTCGGATGATCAGACAAGCACAGAGACCATTGAGCCCTAGCAATCATCCTACCTCCAGTCTTGCACCCCTCAATTCCACCCTCCACACTGCTCCCAGAGGAATCTTTCTAACAGGCAAATTTGATCATATTATTTCCATCTTTAATGATTCTCCATCTCCAAAAATTCTCTAGTGGGACATAAGAGATCTTCCATGGTATGGCCTCTGCCTACTTCATTTTTTATGAATAACTTTTGATTTTGTAGCTTTATATGGTAACAGTGCTGTGTTCTCTTTTTTATTCATGCTTTGTGGAGTATCAGAGAATTACATGATGTCTCTATATGACATCAAATGGGTATTATATGAGATATGCAACATTCATTCAACATGGATTCAAGAAATATTTATGAGCATCTTCTGTGTGCCAGGTACCAGAGATTCAGTGCTAGTCAAGACAGACAATGATGTTATCTTCAGAAGGTTCTACTCTAGTAGAGAGAAAAAGTCATGATTCAACCATTAAAACTGAGGTACGGCCTCTCTCCCTAGGATATACACTCTGTTACAAAATGACATTAAATGAAAAAATCCACAGGAAGCCTTTAGTACCAAGTATGGCAAATAATAAGTACTCATTAAATGTCAGATTTTTTTGCTGTTGTTACTGAGATGAGAGGACATGCAAGGCTCATTTAATTGACCTTCAATAAGATGCTTTTTGAAAGGATGGACCAAAAATACTAGAACATGAAATTTAAATAGTACAAACACAACATAGAGTAACATTCTGCTTACATTATTTACATATTATAAAATGCAACAAGATAGTTTAATAAGCAAAATAATGCAAATTACTGAAAATAAATGCTTTGCCATATGGCTATAGTTCTTTATGGTATTGAAAAAGCAATCTATTAAGGGGATCTATAATAGCCTACAATATTCTAGTTAATCATCACTGAAATAATTGGTTCCATTCTCATTTAGAAGAATTTGTTTTTGCTGGAAAGTGATTAATTGGTTCACTTTTATCTTTCGCAACCTAAAAAAAAATAATTAAAAAAACATAAAAATAAATTGTACTTAAGAAAAACTATAGATATATCAGCTAAATAACATAAGTCTCCAAAGGCAAAATGCATATAAATGTATGTAGCTGGTTGACAAAATACACTGAGATCATTAGGATATGAACAAAAAAATTTGCTCTTCAACCACTTCCTTCAAATCTCTTCCCACTCACGAGCTGATCCCACAGCGCTACAATCACTTCAAGAACAGTCTCATCTCAGCGAACACTCACTTTTAGATATTAAAAGGTCTACATGTAGTTTATATAAAACTTTAGACTTACATCCAAATTGAAGCCCTTCCCCTCCCTCTCCAACCCTTCTCCCCTCACCCAGCCCAAGACTGGGCTGTGCACGGAGAGAGGGACCCCAGCTACTTCTACTCCTCACTGCTCATCTCCTCCTTCTCTCTGTATCCCATCTCCCTGGGCCTCTTTAGGTTCCCCCTGACTTCAGAAATTTGGGCCTGAGAGAATAGATGGGGAGAAGGAGACAAATATCTTTTATGAGACTGATGCTGTTATAACTTGGCTGTTGGTACTCTCTCTGGGGCCAATGCCCAGGTGCTGCCTTTCTCTTGTGAGCACATTTGTGGGTTCCTGGAGACACTACAAGAGCCTTCCAAGTGCATTGTTCTCTGTCCCTGAGTGATCAATATACTACCTGACTGGTCATTTGTGAGAACTACTCAGCTTCTGCCATTGACAGTCTCATTACCATCACTCTCTTGGGCAGCATCCCTTCTAGACAGCTCAAGTGCAGATCCTTTTACCATATGTACTTGACCTATGGGAGATTCATAAATTCTTGCCATGCCAAATGCTTGAAGTGTAAGCTGCTTCCACTAATGCTCTCTTTCCTGACCCTTCTGCTCCAGGATACTCCAGGTCACATCCCATCTTTTCAATTCTCCAGGCTGGAAGCAGGATCTATCCAGTCAAGACATGAGATGCTCATCTCCCCTTCTTGCAGCCCCCGGATCTCTATGGTGTTTCCTCTTGCAGCCCTGAGAAGGAAGTAGCACCTTTCTCTTCCCCAACTATGTCAGTGATTCACTGTTTCAATGACTCTTCTCCAGAATGTCTAGGTTTCTGTTCATATAGGCTAAATGGAGTGATAGTAGGGATGGTTGAAGGACCAGCCAGTCCTGTAGGGGAAGCAAGAAGGCAGGTGCAAGAAACCCACCTGGATGCTTCTACTAAAATGCAAGGAACAGATCACCTTAAACTTTCCTAAACCAAGAATAAAAAATGATCCCCAGGGCCGGCCCCGTGGCTTAGCGGTTAAGTGCGCGCGCTTCGCTACTGGCGGCCCGGGGTTTGGATCCCGGGCGCGCACCGACGCACCGCTTCTCCGGCCATGCTGAGGCCGCGTCCCACATATAGCAACTAGAAGGATGTGCAACTACGATGTACAACTATCTACTGGGGCTTTGGGGAAAAAAAAAATGATCCCCAACACATTTTATGTGCCTATTATAACTTTGATGCATAACACCAGGAAAAATACAATGAAAAAAGGATATTAAAGCATAAACTCATTTATGAACATATGTTTAAATATTGTAAATAAAATACTAGCAAAACGAATGCAACAATGAATCAAAAATATATCATGGAAAAGTGAGTTTATTCTAAAAATTCAAGGATAGTTTAATATTGGAAAATCTATTAATGTAATTCAACACATTAACAGAAAAACATGATTATCTCAATAGATGCAGAAAAAGCATTTAATACAAATCCTATATCTGTGATGGTAAAAGCTCTTCACCAACTTGTAATACAAGGAAACTTACTCAACTTTACCAAAACCCCACAGCAAATGTTATACATCATTATAATCATTATAATTATACATCATTAAGTATATAATATACTTAATGATGAAGCATTGGAAACATTCTTTTTAAAGTCAGGAACAAGATACAGATACTCGTTCTTACTGATGCTATTGCACCCCATACAGGAGGCCTCAGCAGGCTCCATGAAGAAAATATAAAGCAGAGGCAGAAGGATTAGAAAAACTTTTTGAAGTTGCTGATTATAAAAAATGTGTTTTTCTACCTAAAAAATAAAGGATAATCTACAGATTAACTATGATTATCTTTTAAAAAATGTCCACAAGATTGCTCAAAACAATATCAGTATACAGAAATCATTTGTCTCTTCATACATGAGCAAGAACCAATTACAAGTCTACTTTTAAAATCCCATTCTACAAGGTACTTAGAAATAAATCTAATGAAAGATGCTATAAGACCTTTATAGAGAAGATTACAAAATATTATTCAAGGACTCAGAGGAAGGCCTAAATAAATAGAGGGAGCTATTCCAAAGTTCAGCAAGGCAAGAATCAATGTCATGAAGATGTCAACCTCCCCTAATTAACATATAAATTAAATGCAAGTTCAATCAAAATAACACTAGGGATTTTTGGGGAATTTGAAAAGCGGATTCTAAAATTCTTATAGAAGAGTGAAAAAACAAGAATAGGCAAGACAATTTTAAAAAACAAGAATATCTCCTACCAAATATCAAGATTTACCATAAATCTACAGAAATTAAAACCACGTGGAGGTGGGCCCATGGGGCGGTCTAGGGAGCCCAGATGGACCCACGAGTAGAGGCAATCGGATGAGAGCAGTGTTAGAGATCAGTGGGAGAAGAAGAGCACTTTAATAAATGGGGCAGAGACAATTAGCTACCCGTATCGAAACGATTAGTACCCTACCCTATGCTGCAGTCAAAAGTCAATTCCAGAAAGACAGATGTGACACTAGGGTAAAGAAAAATTTCATAAAGAAGACCAAAAAGTACAAAAATACGTTTAACTACATTAATATTTCTGAATTCTATAAAACAGAAGAACTTATTAAAGTTAAAGACAAGTCACAGACAGGGAGAAGATACTTGCAAAGCACATAACCACTAAAGAATTTGCATCCAGGATATAAAAGCACTATAAATCAGGGGCCAGCCTGGTGGCGCAGTGGTTAAGCGCATGTGCTCTGCTGCAGTGGCTGGGGGTTCGGATCCTGACGCGCACTGACGCACCGCTTTTCAAGCCATGCTGTGGTGGTGTCCCACATAAAGTGGAGGAAGATGGGCATGGATGTTAGCCCAGAGTCAGTCTTTCTCAGCAAAAAGAGGAAGATTGGCAGATGTTAGCTCAGGGCTGATCTTCCTCACACACACACAAAAAAAGAACTATAAATCAATGAGAAAAAAAAACTTACAACTTATTTAAAATATACAGAGGACTTGAACAGAAGAAATCTGAATAGCCAATAAACTTAGAAGAAGATATCTAAGATATTCAAACTCACTAGTAATTCTAGAAATGCAAACTAAATAAAATATTAGGTGCTATTTAACAACCAACTTGATTGGCCAAAGTTTTAATATATCATATTAACTAGTATTGGCAGAGGTTAGGAACTCTCCTATACTGTTGATTTGTGAGTATGAATTAATACACTTTAGAAAACAATTGGGCAATGCACATAAAGTTGAAAAGATGTTCATGACTGATAATGTGGCAATGTCACTGCTGAATACCCTAGAGAAACTTTCTTGCCTGTACAAGGAGACATGTGCAACATTGTCTGAAAAAGTGAAAGAGGGAAAATAAGCTAAATGGCCACACATAGAGGGATGGCTGCGCTAGAGCTGACCTCCAGCTGGCATCTCTAGAAGGGCCAGGCAGGTTGTTGGAGCCAGTGCGTACTCTGATTGGTCAGGGCCAATGAATCACCAGCTGTTAAATATTTTGAATACCACCTCCAGGGTAAATTGTGATTTATTCATCCAATGTAATGTTATCCCACAGTTGCAATGAATGTTCTAGGTCTACATGTCTTCATAAGCATAAATCTCAAAAACATAATGTTGAACAAAAAGCAAAACTGTAGAAAGATATCATTCATACTAAAAAAAACAAAAAAACAAAAAAAAAAACCCACTAAACTACTCTTGTCTAAGGAGGCATAACTACGTAGTAAATATATTAACAATATGGATGGGACCAACATACACCAAATACATACTAACTTCAGGATGGTGGACACCACTGTGGGTGAAAAAAGGAATGGGATGGGGGAGAAATATTTATGGGCTTCTATTCTATCAAGAATATTTTGTTTCTCATTTTAAAAAAAGATCCAAAGCAAATATGCAAACTATCGGCATTTATTAAATCCGGGTGGTGGAATTACAGATGCCTATTTATTTTTTTAACATTTATGTACTTCTGAAATATTTTATAATTATTATTTTCTCAAGTTTAAGAGATTCTGTTATCAAAATATTTAAAGCTTTCACCATATGGAATCAAATCAACTGACTATAGTTGCAACTCTCTTAAAATAAGCGAGCATGAAAAATTCATGTCTGTAAAAAGGACCAATTAGGGGCTTATTAATCACATTAAAATATATTTATTATATAATTCACAAAATATAACATTTTATGATGCAATCAAAATTATCCAATTTATAATAATGTGATTTGCATTTAACTTTTCTAAAATAGTCCTACTTCATAAATCAAAGTACACCTGTTAATTCATCTTTCCTGTGCCTCTTTTGGAGAGATTTGTCTGAGGATAATTTTAGATGTAAATTAAAGTTGCTTGTTGGGAAAGGCATTTTTTTCCTAAGGGAGGAAATCCTCACAGAATTGTCACAAACAACGGTATGCTCATAGTCTCCCCCCGCAAATTCACATCATAATTTATTCTTCAAATCAGTCCTCTGGAATCAAAGTGATCCTGTGAACACTCTGGGAAGAGGACATAGTTTTCTGCTTTTAACAAAAGTTAACTAGAAAGTATACTCCAATAATTTACATACAGAGTAGCACCAATGTCTGTGTACCAGCGTCCGTCAAAGCCCGGCTGACTCCTCTCCTTCTTGTCTCCGTTTGCATTCTCTTGCAGTTTCCTCTGAGCCTCTTCCTTGTCTTTGGCTCGTTTCAGGCAATAAGCTTTCTCCTGCTCCCTGATTTGTTGTTCAATTACTGGAAAGTTCTGCAATGCCTGAATCCTTTCTGAACGCTCTATTTCTTTACCGTCCAACCACTTAAATAAAAAACAACCAACACAGTGCCTTTATTCAAAAGTCACAGTTTGAATCAGCCCCAGGATGACTTTGATTGGAATATTTTAAACTTAGAAATAATAATAACGCACCATAGTAATATGGAATCAAAAGCAAAGTAATTAATGCGAAATAGAGATTTTGATCTAAATCAGTGCTTATTTCATACAATTAATACAGTTTACAAAGCATCTTTACTGGTAATAATAATATGTAGGTCTTCTGTCAAAACTGATTATTAATGACAAGCTTTCAAAATATATTAATTTTATAACTGTTCACTATATAAAGAATTTTAATGCCTCAAGTCAAATCGTAGCTCCAAAGTATAACAATGACATTTCCCAAATGCTCTCTACAAAAAAGGGTCTTGTATATTAACAAAACTGAGCTCTAATACAAATGAGCCCACGTTCTACCCTTGACAATAAGACACAGAGAATGTACTATTAATTGTTATGGTAACCGTTTACATCTCGTATTTTTATAGTGATTTTCCAAATTGAAATATTATTATAAAAACACCAATATAAAATCTGAAGTTTCAAAGCTACCAGTTTAAAGATCCCTATTTAATTTAGCCAGCCTCATTCTACAAAAAGAGGTAAGGTCTTCACAAAGGTACGGTAGGCAGAATAACTGCCCCCCAAGAATGTCCACATTGTAATCGCTGTGAATGTTACTTTCCAAAGCAAAAGGAAATTTGTAGACATGATTAAGTTAAGGATTTTACAGTGCGATTATCCTGGATTATCTGGCTGAGACCAGTGTAATCTCAAGGGTCCTTCTAAGGGAAAGAAGAAGACAGAATTGTCAGGGTCAGTTAGGGAGAGATCTGAAGACACTACACTGCTGGCTTTGAAGACGGAGGAAGGGGCCAGGAGCTCAAAAAACGCAGGCACTCTTTAGAAGATGAAAAATGCAGGGAAATGAATTTTTCTGTTGGCAGAAGGAACACAGTCCTGCCAATACCTTTATTTTAGACTTCTGACATCCAGAACTGTAAGAGTATAAATTTGTGTTGTTTTAAGCCCCTAAGTTTGTGGTAATTCTTTACTGCGGCAATAGGAAACAAGAGGAAAAAGACACAAAGATGGAGTAAGATATGAATTTTAAAAATTATCAGGATAATTGGAAAAAAATAGTTTAAAGTATGTTTGGTCATGAGGACTCGTCTGGCTGTTGTAGATGGGCTGCTGGACTGACTCTACGCTTGCTGGCAGCCAGAGCAAAATAAAAAACATGATCAGTTGTAAGATTTTTGCTGTCTTTAATGAGAAAATGTACTAGTTTCTAGCTTTTCCCTAAAAGTTAGTTCTAAAATACATTTCTAAACTAAAACTTCATAATGGAGATCTTGAGAGATGTCATGCCTTGTTTCTGCAGCAACTGAGAGATTAAGTTTTAAGTTGTGCATTATAGCATTTCTTCATCTTTCTTCATTTAGGATGTCTGCAACACAGAGGCAGAGTGCCCATGCTTATTAATAATTGCACGTGTGCTGTGGGAGAGAAGAGAACGAGAAACTAAGATCTACTGCAGGCCTCACAGAACTCCTTTAAAGTAGGAATTATTAATCCATTATAGATGAGAAAAATGAGGCACACAACTCATAGGTAGTGGAGACACGAGTCAGACCCGGGTCTGTCTGCTACCCAAACTTTTTTTCCACTACACTACAGCGTCTACTTCTACCTGGAGTGGCTCAGACACTAGGAAAAGGATACTTGGGAAGGGCTCAATCTCCTCACACCTCTTCTATGTGTCTGTCTAAAATAACTACTCGGTTGTTATCAGTTTAATTGCGTTTGCCCCCAAAAAAGTTATGTTGAAATCCTAACCTCCAGTACCTCAGAATGTGACCTTATTTGGAAATAGGGTCGTTGCAGATGTAATTAGTTAAGATGAGGTTATACGGTAGCAGAGGGTGGGCTCGTAATGCAATATGACTGGTGTCCTTATAAAAAGAATGCCACGTGAAGAAACGGAAACACAAGGAGAATTCCAGGTGAAGACGAAGGCAGAGATGGGAGTGATGCTTCTAGAAGCCAAGGAATGAAGATTGCCAGCACCCACCAGAAGCTGGGAGAGACTTCTGGCCACCAGAACCATGAAATAACAAATTTCTGGTGTTTAGGCCACCCAATTTGTGATACTTTGTTACAGCAACCCTAGGAAAATAATGCATCTGTTAACAAAATTCCTTTCAAGTAGATCACAAGCTTTCAGTGAAATCGTAATTAAGATTCTAAAGTTTATCAACCTATTTTTAAATACTAGTAAACACATTTATGAATACTATTTTTCAAAGAGAGGCTGTTGCTTATGGTAGCAGCTGAATCAGAGCATTCTTCCTGGAAGAAAAGACTTGATCTCAACCCTGTACATTAACCCAGAGAGAAGCAGTGAGTGTGCTTCTAGTGTGAATGGTGGGCTTTTAGGTTCAAATCCCACCTGTGACACTTGCCAGGTGTGTCAGCTTAAACAAGGAGCATTAACTCTCCAAGCCCTGGCTCCCTCATCTCTGAATGCACCTGATCATCTCCCTGCAAGGGTTCAGGAGGATCAGAGATGGTGTGCTTAAAGCACTTGGAACAACCCTGGCCCGTGTTTCGGGCAGCTGTCTGATGGCTCTCACAAACTTCTAGCCCCAGCACCGCAGCATTGACATTCCAGGAAAATAGCTCACAGTGTTACGTTACAGGATCCATTTCTATGATATTCTGGTTCTCATCAGTTCATTTTTAGGAAGTCATTGTACAATGATGATTAGCCTGGGTTATGTTTGAGCTAATTTATCATTTATTCTAAATATATTTCTAGATTCAATTACCTGAGTCACTCATTCTCTTAATCAAAGAAATTTTACATTAAAAGAAATGTGTTCCATTAATCCAGCAATCTCAACTACACAGAACTCAGCAGTCTAAGAACAAATGTCCTCTGAGAATTGAAGAAAATGCCTCTCAGAAAGCCAACGCATCTATGCATTCTTTTTGCAAAAGTGTGGGGCCACATGCTGTTGGAAGAGGTTATTGAGAGGACGTGATTGCCAGTTGACCTGCAAGCTGTACCTGGGCAATGAGAGACTCCTCACCCCCTCTCCTGTTCTTAGAATGTACCCTCTCTCAACAATTCCCACAGTGGGAGCCATTTTCAAGGACGCAGCTTTGACAGAGGAAGGTGTTGCTGAGACCATCTGGACTGTGTATGTGACTGAACCCCATTAAGGCCTCCATATAAACTTTTAAGATGCTGGCCAGCAGTGTGAAGATCTACTCATCTTGCAGCTACCCAAGACAAGCCTCATATGTAAGTTCCTTTGTTTAGTAAACCTGCCACCTACCAGCTGGAATGACCCGCCTCTACCTTCGGTCCCTCCCTGCCCTCCGTGTACGGGGGGCCAGTTTCAGATTTCACCCGGGGAAGTTCCCAAGGTTTCGAACCAACACACACAGGTCAGGAGCTCTTGGGATTACATGAAAATTAGCATTACGACTTTAATACGCTCAGGTGTGTGATTTCTCTAGAAACCGTATGTTTTTTCCTAGCCCCCAAAATACCAGATGAGGGGAGATATAGCATACGAGATGAACACATAGAGTAGTGGTTCTCAAATGAGGTTCCTAGACCAATAGCATCAGCTCAGTAGAACAAAATCTTGGGTGTCATATCAGGCCTACTGAATCTGAAACTCTGGGGGTGGGGCCCAGCACACACCATCCAAGTATCCCAATGCCTACCAAAGTCGATAACCACTAACACAGAGAATGAGTTAACAGAGAGCAATAATAAAAAGATAACAATCCAAAAGCACAGTAGTTCGACTATGAAATACAAAGGTATATAGCTGTAGCCACCTCAAAACCCCTAAGCTTTTGGTATACTATTAGTAATGATGAATGGTCTTCATAACAATGATTTGAACTCATCAAGAAGTAGTTCAGTTAAGCTCTGTGTGTGCTGAATGAAAAAGGAGAAAAGTATGCAGTTTATTTTTCAAAGATGTATTAAAGCTATTAAAACAATTTTAAAGGTTCAGTAAATCAACGAATTAGTTGTGAATTTCTGGAATATTCCATCCTCTAAAACAACACATTCTCTGACAATGCTGTGAATAAATTCGGAATTATTGTAGTTGCTTGTTTTCATTTTTCTGAGATTTCTGCATCATTAAAACAAGCATACCTTTAACCGTGGAAGAGTTGCCACCACATACTGCCGGTAGCCGTCAAAGTCAGCACACGGGTTACCCATGAGAAAGAGCTCCTTCAGGTGGATATTGTGTTGAAGGGTTTTAACGCTGCTCAGCTCTCCAATGAAATTTACTGTCAAATCAAGTTTTGTCAGCCCTTCACATCCTATTGAGAGAAATGAAAAGAAAACAAAGCCAAAAAAAAAAAATCACGCTGGTAATAAAGTGTACATTATAGCACATAATAGAAGCAACAGTTGCAATATTTTAAGTCTGCTGATTAACTGTATTGCTTATCAAGAAGTGGTATTTCAGAAATACCAAAAAGACTTATGCTTAACTCACTTTTCTATCTGCATCTCCCTTAGTTTCAACCCCTTAGTCCCTCCAGACAGGGGAGGTCACTTTCCCTGCTGTTGTGAGAGGTTTGGGGATTCGATCGGAGATGTAAAAGAAACTTTCCACTCCAAACAAATGGACTGAAGGTATATTTTATTATATAGAGGAGAGTAAGGGAGATAGTCTGCAAACAGATCCGAAGAGGTCAAATATTAAGAGGGAAAAACATCAGCTTGACTGGAAAGGGAAAACATTCACATCAACTGAGATAGCAGCAGATTCGAATAGATCATATAATGAGAGGGAAAAACATCAGATCCACTGGAAAGGGAAACATCCACATAGACTGAAGGGAAATGACACAAATCAACCGGAAAGAGAAACACTAGGTTGACCAAAAAGAGGACACGTCAGATCAATTATTCACAACAAATCAATTACTTCACAACAAATCAATTACTCAACATCCACGCCCCACTGCCGGGAGAGTCCTTTCAATCGACACGGCTGGGCGGGGATCACACGTCCTGGGCAAGACGTCCCTTCCACAGGTGGAACCCTCACCAGGCCTCAGTCTCCAGCAGTTTTTTATAGCATCAATACTTTCCAGAGGAAGCAGTTACAGAGCTTTTATAGATCAAGCATTCAATGTTCCCATGCACAAATGGTTATCAGTGGCATATGTGCACTGAGCCTCCTGGCTATCATCCCAGCCCGGCAGTTGTGTACCTGCATTGTTTACCCTGGTTGTCATCCCAGCCCAGCACAGATGGCCAGTCTGCCTCAGGCTGCAGCGCCCGAAGGGCCTTGAAATTTTTACACATTGCAACAATCTCCATGGGAAAAGGACCAGTTCCCACCACGCAGAAAGCAGCTTTTATATTTCTTTTTGTGCTGGTGGCTGTAGGTCAATGGAGTGGTCAAACATGGCTGTACTCATGTCAAGACACCTGTCCACATCTGCAAACACCCTGGGCTGACTAACATTTGGATTTGGTCATTATCTGGCAGGAAGAAAGCCAAGTATAGGCTACTGCTGGGGCGGACACCACATCAGAACAAAGCTCCTCTGGAGAAGGCATCTGGAATCTGCTCTCCTGAGAATTCTACCAGGGAGTTAGGACACATCTCACTGTGAAGGGTGACAATGGAAAGTTTCCCCACAAGAAAAGGCATTTCATAAAACCAATGCATCAGAATTCATATGTGCAAAGTCACCTTGAAGAGACAGAATGGCTCCAAGACCACCAAGAACTGAACTGAAGGTATCAACAAGGGTAAAAAATATAAGAGTTTGGTCCTCAGAGGAATGAAAGAAAAAAGATGAGTCACTGAAGCAGAGTTTGCAGTAAATCTGACCCATCTACCTTCACTATAGAGAGAGAGAGATGTTATAGAAATCTGAATCAAATTCAAATTTGAATTAACTCCCTCACTCACATTCCATGGGAACTTGGTTAGGAGCGCAGACTTTGGGATTAGAAAGACATGAGTTCAAGTCCTAGCCGTCACATCCTTGCTGTGTGTGACCTTGGGAGAGGTACAAGTCTTAGCCTTCTCATCTGTAGAATTATAATAGTATTGGTACCCAATTCAGGGGTTGTGGTTAAGAGAATATGATTCATATAAAGTACTTAGCACAGTGCCTGCCACCCAGAGAGCTTCAGGAAACATTAGCCAAGATTAGAAATAGCTCAATGAGCACTCTTCTGATTATCACGTGGCTTTTTAGACACCATGCCTACAGGGAAAGAAGGATGCTTACTGTCCTACGAGCAGAGAATTTGCAGTTTCTTACTACGAACTAAAGAAGAGTTGACCTGGTTTATACAGCAGCCTATGTGAGCTAGGTTCATATAAGGCTGTTTCCCTCTGTGACTGGCTCATGCTTTTTGGATTAATATGGCAGATTTTGCATCCTTCAATATCTAGAGAACCATCTCCAGCTGACGACCCAGCTCCACCTTGTTCTGCACTCATTTCTTCAAACTTCCACACACTCTGCCCTTGCCATGGGCTTCCTGATTACATGCTGCTTTTCTGTCATTGTTTTGTGGCTACATAACTCGGGGTAAACTTTGGTTCCTGATATCTCATATTAACCTCACCAATATGAACTTGATTCAGATTGCTCCATAGCTCTGCAACCATGTCACCTACGGCATTTTCATTTTCTTCATTTCTGAAGGCTGTAAGGCAGAACCAATTTCATTAAATAATAGTGTTCTCTCCCCAGACCCTTTCTTGATTCTAGCCCCTGACTCCACCTTGCCTAGAACTCCATGTTTCCCTCCTATCTAGTCATATCCCAAGCCAGTCTCTTCCAAATAAGTTAGTTCTACCTCAGTGCTTCCAGATGTAGGTCCTCACCCTCTATTCACCCATCCATTCATTCATTCATCATCCAGAAGTTACTGGGTACCTGCTATGTACAAGTTACTGAGCCAGGTCTTCAGGATACTAAAAAAAATCCATGGTATTTTACCTCAAGCTTATGTCTAATGTGGAGAAAGGAGAAAAAGAGAGTCATTCAAGATAAAGAAAATTTAATGTGAAAGTCACTAAGAAGTGAATCTGGAGAAGAAGGCAGAACCCAGAAGTAGGCAATGCCCACTGAGACATCATAAGCCACCCTAAATCTATATTCACTGCTTCTTCTTTCTCAATCCCCATTCACTGCTCAATCCACTGTCCCTGGCTTCCACCCCCAACGTTCTACTAGATTTGCTCCTCTAAAGGTGACCATGTTGACACCTTCATATTGACAAATCTAATAGACTCTCTTCAACCCATTATGTCACTAGACAATCCGCAGCATATGGCATGACTGACCATGATTTGCTCTTAAATCTCTCACCTGTCTTGGAAACAGTGATACTACTCTCTCCCTGTTCTCTCTTGTAATGTAGTTTATTCCTCTTGATCTCTTTTATAGACTTTTCCACTTCATTAATGGCAGTATAACCCAGATTCCCATCCCTGACCCAATATTGCCTCTCCTTGTGGGTTCCTGATGGCAACAGTCATGTTCATTGGTTTAACTAACCCCAGATTCTGACGACTCCCAAACAATAACCCCACATCTGACCATCCAACTGACTATCATACTCCTGTTTCCAAATGCTGCAAGACATATCACATTCAACATGTCCAAAACTGAATTCTTCATATTTTCTCTCACTCTCCACTCCTCAAGACAGCTTTTCTCCCTTCTTTACGTCTAAATTCTATTAATGTCATCACCATGTTAGTATCAGACTTGAGTGTGACACCAAGAGTCAAGTCAAGGTTAATTTGAAAGTTAACCTAAATGATTCTCTTGGCCCCTTCATGTCATCAGTCATTAAAGCCCTGCAGATCCTAACTCCTAAATTCTTCTCACATACTGCTTCTTCACTCTAAGCATATTACTATCATTCCAGTTCAGGTTCTTATCACCTTTTGTGCGCAACATGGCAATAACCTCCTAAATCATCTCCCTATTTTGAGAACATAGAAAGTAAGGAAGGAAAGAAAGATGGACAAAAGAAGAGAGAGAGGAAGGAGAGATTTTTAAAAATGGCTCTTCCTCTTCCCTTATTTACTTGTCCTTCCCTTCTCTGCCCTTCCCTTCATTTCCTTTTCCTTCCCTTTCCTTCTCTTCCCTTCCTTTCAGAAAAACTAATTCCTAAAGCCATTGGGAGAGGAGAGCAAAGAAAGAGTGGAGAGGCTAGGGGTAGCTATGTTGGTCCAGAACAGAATGTTGGAGCCCAAACAGGATGAGAGAAGCATGCGGAGAACTGCACAGTGCTGGGAGTCAGAGCCCGAGCAGTGAGGGAGCATCCTCGGGTGAGGGAGTCTGGCACGGGGGAGGAGCCCACGCCCAGTGAGGAGGGCATCCCTGCAGAGAAGGATGGTGTGTAGGAACCTGAGCAGGGTGAGAAGGGTGTCCAAGCCAGACAGCCAACCATGGGGTGTCAGAATCAGTACAGCCAGGATGACATCAAGATGGAAAGGCAGCCTGACTTGGGGAGTCAGAGCCCAAGCAGGGTAGGGAGGGCACCCTCACATGACACCCCGCAAGTAGTGACGGAGACCATCAGGGTGAAGAGGGAATCCACATGTGACTAGAACCAAGCGCAAGGTGTCAGAGCTTGAGCAGGCCAAGGAGGACATCCATATAGGACAGCTGCCTCACATGGGAATTTGGAGATTAAACAAGGTGAAGGAGGCATCCGTGTCGGGGGGACATGGATGTAGGGTATCAGAGATTGAGCAGGGTAAGGAGCACGTCCCATGGAGGGGCCACCTAGAGAGGGGATGTCAGAGCTCAGATTGGTTGAGAAGGCGGTGAAGAAGCCATGTTAGAAGTGGAGCCTCTAACAACAGCTGCCCCCGCTGATGCCGTGGATCAGGGAGGACCTCCCAGCCAAACTCTTCCTGAATTCCCGACCTACGAAGCTGCGGGGAAAAGAAAGTTGTTTAAAGACTTGACGCTTTGGGGTAGTTTTTTTGCTGCAACAGATAACTGGCACTGTGAGACAAATGAGCTAAGAACTTAACAAAGTTCACACAGCTACTAAATGGGGAATTGGGAATTGAATCCAGCGCTGCCCAGCTGAAAAGCCTCTCTGAACTGGTACACTAGAAGTTCTCTTTGCCAATATTAGCTATATATTACTAACATATCATCACCATCATCATCACCTTAAACTTCTCGAGCTAAAGCTTTGTGGGATACAACTGTGGGTCTATAAGTACAAGCAGATGTAGTCACATCCATCTGATGGATGGGCCCCGTGTAGGATGTGCCTGTAATTCACAGCATGGCCGGAGAGAGCCAGACCA